TTAAATGGAAAACAACATATGTTTTGCAGCGGGGGTAAGGTGAAAAAGATTTTCAAGCTCTGCATGTCCTAAGGTAAGATTTTCGACAGTTCTTTGTTAACAAATTCAGGTATTTTTTTTTGAATGAATAGCTCTTGTATAATTATACTCCACACTAATATATCAACTATGGAGGCACAAACATTAGATTAAGTTACACTTAAGCTACTGTCACTTGCGGCCTATTAGTTCCATGTCCTTACTTTCCTTTTTCAAACACTACTCTAGTATTCTTTTGTCATATTTCTCTACTTTCGTTTTTCTCTTTTGTCTTTTAACCTTATAACCATGCATGAACTATTATTAGCTTCTAAAACTTGCTACATATAAATAACTAACATCGATCAAATTATGTGTACTGATCAAAGTTTTTGTTTTTTACTGCAGGTTTCATATACAGCCCAGAACCATGAGGACGAGGGAGTGGATTGGCTGAGGGTTAGCCTTGCTGGATTTAATGACAACAACCATCAAACTTGATTCTTGGAAAACTTGCTGCTATGAATTCAGATCTTGATCTTACTTCACTTGAAGTTTAGAGTTGAAAAAATGAAGTTGCATGTCTTCGGTTTATTCGGTTTTCGGCCAGTAAGAAGATTTTTAGTTTATGATACATTCTTTGAGAGATATTCAAGATATTGTTTCTAGCATAAGATATGTTGGATATTTCTTCATTGTAGATTATGAATATTTTAATACTTTTAATGATATTATAGTATATAAAAATTCATATTACAAGCATGTTGTTTTATATTAATACTTCTAGCTCAAAATTATTAAAAATTTGTTAGAAGGTTAAATACAAATGTTGCATATTAAGTGTAGTGTGTTGCTTATAATTCTAGAAAAGTGTTGCCAATTTTGAATAAAATGTTGCACAAATATTCATCAAACTGTTACGAAATATAATAAGTGTTGCCTAAAAAAAGTGTTGCCTAAAATCATATTTTAAGTGTTGTATTGTATTTCAAAAAGTGTTGCGTAATATGCTCGTTAAAGTGTTGAAAAAAGTGTTGCATTTAAGATATTTATGCAACACTTTTATTCAGAGTTGCATAATAAGAGAAAAAGTGTTGCATAATACTTTATGCAACGAGACTTGAAGTAACATCCATAAAAGTGTTGCATTAGCTTTTTGTAACACTTTAATCGTCTAATGTAACACTTTCATAGCGTTGCCAAATGCTTGTTTTGTTGTAGTGATCAAGCAAAAGCAACACAAGAAATTTAGTAAAAGAACTCTTTCCAAAATTTAGCTTGACCTTTCGGGAAACAGTTAACCATTCAAAAGGGCTCTAACTGATTCCGTAAGATATCATCTCAAAAGTCATATTCTTGGAAATCCTTTTACAAATAGTATAGAATAGGATTAACCATTGGACCATGTTATTAAACTGTTTGATTTGAAGAGTTTAATATTTATACAAAAAAAATCAAAAAAGTCGCTATGGCCTGGCGTGAAATAGAACATCAAGCAGTCTAGGCTTGACAATTAAGTCTCAACCTAATGGTACATGTTTGGTTATTAATTCTATAGCATCACGTTGTTCATGCTTATTTTGGCTTGGAGCGTGCTGAATTATTTATCCCACACCAGTTTGTACTATTGTTCTTATGAAATTAACCTTTTAGGGTGAAACATCTTAACTTATTGCAAACTTTTGGTCCATCTTAACTTTTGTGCTCAAAATTTCAAACACAATTTGGAGTTGATATTTTACACGAACTACATGAAAGAAAACATACAGAGAGAGTTTTGAACATACGAGAATGTCAAATGATCTAAGATGACTTTTTCGAGCGCCATAAGTATCAACACGCTCACGCACAGATCGTTTGGAGTTTTTGTGCTAACACTTTCTTTACGGTGTATTTTTGCACATGATCTGATAGTGTAGATATACATACCTATAACTGGACTTTCGTGGCATCAACATAATATGAGGAGGAAAAGAAAAGTTTATTACTGAAACCCCCTTATTCAGAACCTCACCCAACATATTTCAAAATTTCTATGTTTAATTGTGTTTGACATTGTCCTATCTTAGCATTAAGATTCATAGCTCTTAGGTATTTCACTTTTTAGATTTATGCATGATTGATATTGGATTACATAATTGTCCCATGCCCACAAGCCATTAGAGTGTTATGATTCCCAAGTTATGTACATTGTATTAAATCTGACATAACATATTTAATGATTTATTTTGATAGCTAATTGCGTTGTTCCAAATGATATTTTGATTTAAAAAGATGAGCTTGTGCCCTCATTTTTTCAATCGATGTTTCTTTGTTCATGATTATGCTAATTAATTTTACTTGTCCAAGAGCCTCAATGATATCTTTCTCCTCACAATGTCGAATTGATAAAAAATCGTCTAGACCATTCACACACCTCTATAAAAAATTTAATAAGTCTAATTACCATTTTTAGTATTACTCATTTAAGAGTAACATTTTATGATATAAAAACGTATTACGTAGTATTTCATATGTTGGGAAGATGTCTCGAGTAGAAAAGTAAAACATCTTTCATCATTGAGGACTACACTAGTTACACCCAACTTTTGGAGTGTCCTCAAGATGAGTTTGTCCAAAAAATATTTCCTAACAAACATCTTTATGAGATTGATTTGATATCTCTATATACCAAGTACATAACAAGTGTGTTATAGTCATGAGCCAATTCACATACTATATGTTGGGTGTGTTTCGGAAAATAAAGAAGATTAATTAAAATAAATTAATTAAATAAAATGACTAGAGAAAAACCAAGAAAGGAGATGAAGCAGAATTAGCCAAAGCTCGTGCTACGCACGATTTCCTTAAAACGTATTTGTTGCCTCCCACGGTGCTAGGAGCGTTGCAACAATCGTTTCCCAGGATACGATGACTACGAACTAATGTTTGAGCACACAAACAAGAGTTCCAGCGAACGAGAACTGAGTATGAACACAGAGGAATTTTTGGGAATAGCTGGAAGAGTTTTTAGCTCAAGAAAACGTGAGGAAAGTGATGTGCGTTGTCAAACCGTGTGTCTGTTGCAAAGCACCTGCCAGCTATTTATAGGAGGATTTGTTGTGAGTTAAATGGGGTGTTAATGGACCTGAACGTTGGACATCAATGACCAGTCCGTTGGGCATTGAATCGTCCATAAACTGTCCATTTAACGCTGCATTAAAAGAGAAGAACGTTGGGCATTAATAGTTGTAACGGAAGAAATGCGTGACAGAAGACCCCAACAGAGGGGTTCTGTCCGTAGCCAACAGAACTCCCCTTGGAGGGTTTCTGTTCGAGGCCTTCTGTCCGAAGCCAACAGAACCCCCCTTGGATGGAAAAAAAACGTTTGGGAAGAAAACAAAAATTAACCGTATCTCTTGAGAAATAGATTTTTGGACGGCATTCATGTCCGCAGGTCGCCCGCGCACACGAGTCGCGATTTTTCTTCTCCGTTTCGGGATTTGATCGGCACCCCCCCTGCGCGTAAGAGAGAGCCTTTCCCTTTAGGAATCTTAACTCCTTAAAAGAGGCTTCCCTTTAAAAGGGGGTGAAAATCCCTTGAATTTTTCGGTGTGGGATAAAACACACAAGAAACTCATCATTTTCCCAGTTTTTCCATTACAACGAGCGAACTTCGAGAATCAATTTCTCATTCACCCGTTATCCGTTTTGAGCGTACCATATATCGAATTGTAGCCCTTAACAAGGACAATCCGAAACCACTTTGACCCGACCCAAATCGGAAGTGGACCCCACTCAAATAATTGCCCCAAAATGACCATTTAATGCAATTTTTAACACATTTTTCCAACACTATATTCAAGAACAAACCAAGTATTAAAATTAGAATTATTAGCTTACTTTATCCCAAACTATCATCAAATTCACAAATCTATCATATTCTTTCACTTTTATTAAACAAAGACTCAAACTTCATCCTTTTAAACAATTATGCTTTTCTTTTTTGTTTTTTCAAAAATTACACATTTTTATCAATACCAATAAGGTATAAGCTATACAAGTTTGTAAGCTTAAAACTAGAAAGAAGTGAAAAAATATGAAATATAAATATGATTTGCTTCTTAAGTTTTACTAATTCAACCATTGAAAGTGTAATTATGAGAAAAGTTGAAGTTTGAGTCTTTTTTAATAAAAGTGAACGTATGGGATAAATTTGTGAATTGGATGATACTTGAGGATATATTTAGCTAATAATCCTTATAATTATACTAAGGAATATTTCCAACATGAAGACTTCTCAATATTTGAAAAAATTGAACCGAGCTAGTAAACACCTGATTCCGATTCAAATGTCAACTATTGTGATTCAGACATAATTAACCGGAATAAGGCTCAAATCTTATTCAAATCAAACGTAGTATTGTATTGAATAAAGGTTTAAATATGTTTTTAGTCCATGCAAATATAGTTCATTTTGTTTTACATCCCTGTAAAATTATTTTTTGTGTTTTTCAGTCCCTAAAATTTATGTTGATATTCTTTTTTTAGTCCATCACCGATTATAACAACATCCGTCGTTTAACCTCAAAATAACCCCAACTAATAGATTTCCTCTAATTTTTTGTCATGTTATTCACAAATTATTTAAGTTTATCTCTTAGAAGGTTTATAAGATAAATTTTTAAGAACTGAATATTTAATTTTACATTGTCTTAACTCTCATATTATCCTTAAAAAATTATAACAGGATAAATTTATTTATACTACGTATTTTAGAAGATTTATGAAACACACAATAACTTTTTTATACGTAGAGTGATTTCAGAATTAGAAATGAACTAAAAACAAACTCATGCATATGGAGAAAAATAAAAATAAAAAATTTACATAAATTTAAAACAAAATGTATCATATTTGCACGAACTAACCGCGTAATTAAGCCTTTGACTAAATAAAATTATCATAAAAGAAGGCATTCTGCTCCGCAATAATGATGCGTGCTCTGAATCAATGTCCAAGAATACAAGCAACTGAACAAGACCGACAAAATGAACAAAGATAAAGGCATCGTACTCCTAGAAATGGCCCAGAAGAATGTCCTACACAGAATTTTAGTCGCTTCCATTCTCACTCTCACTGGAATAAGGGATGATGGCAGCCATGGCCGACCTCTTCATCACCAGATTTTTCCTAATTCCCACAATACTGCTCCTCCTTTCCTCTCCATTTACCTCGGAATCTGGCAGTGAATTCCCGATCAACGTCTGGCCCAAGCCCACAATCTTCGACTGGCCCAGCCCGTACGCAGTTCCTCTCAGCCCAGACTTCACGGTTCACTCCCCCGCCCATCCCTACTTAACTCCCGCCGTAACTCGTTACATCAACGTCTTCAGAACCGAGCTCCACCGCCCAATAGTTCCCCCGTCACTGAAATTCAAGCCGTCCCCGCCCCTCGAATACCTGAATATCACTGTCTCCGACGTCTCCGCCCCGTTAACTCACGGAGTGAACGAGTCTTACACCCTTTCTGTTCCGGACGACGGCCGCGGCGGCGCTTTCATTTCTTCACAGACAGTATGGGGCGCGATGCGCGGGCTGGAGACTTTTTCCCAGTTCGTGTACGACTGCCCGTCCCGGGTGGCCTCCGGATTGTACATTTCCGACGCTCCTTTGTTCCCTCACCGCGGAGTTCTGCTGGATACTTCGCGGAATTTCTATGCGCTTGACGATTTGTTGAGGTTAATTATGGCAATTAGTATGAATAAGATTAATGTTTTCCACTGGCATATTACGGACTCGCAATCCTTCCCATTGGTGTTGCCGTCAGAGCCGGAGTTGGCAGATCGCGGCGCCTATGGAGACGAAATGAAGTACTCCCCGGAGGATGTGAAGAAAGTTGTTGAATTCGGGCTGCAATACGGTGTTAGGGTTGTACCCGAGATTGACATGCCTGGTAGGTTCAATTTCGCCCTCTTTTGACTTATCCAGTCCTTCTTCTTTAGGGATAGAGATGATCCGGTTTGGGTGGGATCCTGAAGCCACCACACCTCATGCGGGGATTCCAAACCTCCACAACACGTCTAATTTATATTGATAATCCTCCGAGTAATTAACTAATTTTGCCTCAATTTCATATTGTATACTGTACTATCTTATAATAGTTCTATTGACTTTTAACATACTCCTATCTTTTGCATCGTTGTTGTCTTGGATTTGTTGTGGGTTGTCCACTTGATTTTCAATGCATGGGTGAATTATTAGTACGTTAATTTTCTCCAATTTATGAAATAAAAAAAATGTTAATTTTACTTTTGTGTGTATTTGTTAAGAGGTTTTGCTTAATAAAATATTAATGGCAGAAAACTTATGGAGATAGTCATGTAAACCTTAAAATTTACCAAGTCACATTTTAATCCACAATCCTTATTTTGGTCATATATTAGGAATTATTTGTTGCTGATGCTTATGGGTTAAATTTGTTGTTAAATTTGGTTAATTTTGTAAAACAGAATACAGTTCAGTGAAATCAGATTCAGTCAAAATAAGTTAGTCAAAATCTGATTTTTTCCATATTTTTTATTACTTAGGGAAAAATTGTAATAGGTTAACAAAGATCTTACGGTCATACGGTCTCATACCTGTGTAGGCTACTTTTTCCTTTGTATACCAGTTTTAGCTGCCATGTAGACTCTTAACATTTCTACTTTGAAAATAAGTTTAAAGTTTTTAATAAACATTTGAGTGACTTTACAATACCCACAAGTTTTATTTGAACAAAGAAATCATACAGAATGTCATATAATCTTAAAATATAATTATAATATTTCTTCTAAAATTTGTGAGTATATCAGATATTACTAGACTATTTATACATTCTTTGTAACATAAATTTAAATCTAAACTCATAAACTAAGAAATAATTCCATAAATATTACTCTTTAAAATTAGGTGGACAAAAATATTACTCCGTACTTACTAAATGTAAGTCAATGTGCTGTAAACTTTGGACTTAATTATAGTCACTAATAGTTACTAAGTCAATTTTTGTCCATTACATTTTTATTAATAATGTTTAAAGAAACCCCTCATCAACTAATTGATCATGATCCAAGAGTTTACAGTAAGGTTTCTCTAGCAAAGTCTCTTGCCTATCTAGAACTTTATATATGTGATTACAATGGTGATAGACAAGCTTCTGGTTTGGAAACATTGCAGGACACACAGGATCGTGGGCAGAAGCTTACCCTGACATTGTGACTTGTCCAAACATGTTCTGGTTGTCTAATGGAAGCAACACACCACTTGCAGCTGAACCAGGAACCGGTCAACTTAATCCCTTGAACCCGAAAACCTATCAAGTTGTCAAGAATGTCATCAGTGACACCATTGCCATGTTTCCTGACACATTCTATCATGCGGGAGCGGATGAGATAAACCCAAACTGTTGGAACACAGATCCATCCATCCAAAAGTTTGTCTCGGACAATGGGACACTAAGTCAACTACTTGAAACCTTCGTAAACTCCACTTTGCCTTACATCGTCTCCTTAAACCGAACAGTTGTCTACTGGGAAGATGTTCTACTGAGTTCTGACATCAAAGTGACACCCTCTTCACTTCCCAGAGAGAATGTCATCTTGCAGACATGGAACAATGGGCCTAATAACACTAAAAGAATTGTCAATGCTGGATATCGTGTCATCGTGTCATCAGCTGACTTTTATTACTTGGATTGTGGGCATGGGGGATTTCTTGGAAATGATAACCGGTATGATCAGCCACCGGGAACTGACCAAGGTAACGGCGGATCATGGTGTGGTCCCTTCAAAACATGGCAGCTTATTTACAACTATGACATAACATATGGATTGAGCAACAAGGAGGCTAAATTAGTGTTGGGAGGGGAAGTGGCATTATGGTCTGAACAAGCGGATGCAACAGTTTTGGATTCTCGGGTTTGGCCTAGAGCTTCAGCAATGGCTGAATCTTTGTGGTCCGGGAATACGGTTGAAATGGGGAAGACAATGAAGAAGAGGTCTGGAGAGGTTACCAATAGGTTGAATGAATGGAGGTACAGGATGGTTGCCCGGGGTATAGGCGCTGAACCGATCCAACCACTCTGGTGTGTCAAAAACCCCGGAATGTGTGATGCAGTTTACCCGTTTACTGCTTAAACAATAAGGTCATGTGATCTTTTGCTTATCACGTCTGCTCTCGAGTAAATTCTGTTCTCTCTATTTGTATTAGTTCCCTTTTTGCGATTATTAACCTTTATTTGTATTAGTAAAGAAAATTCATGAACATAGGAGGAGAAGTGGAGAACTTATAGAAACAATAAAGGATCATTCCTGAAATAACAGAAATGTTTTTGGAATTTCAAAATATGAGCACTATGTTATATTTCTTTATGTTATTATTCCCTAAATAGAGTAATTATCTTGAGAGAAAATGCTGTTGGGGACGGAGGTAGTATAAATTGTAAACTTGTATGTATAATACATAAGTTTGTGAAATTCCAAATTATTACGCATTATGAAATTTTAATTACTTAATACACTATTATTATTAATCACTTTTCATATAATTCTAATAAATCACTTCTCAAAAGTAGAAAAAATGGAATAGTTTACAACATTTTGGAACTACTTATAACTACTTGCATTATAACTACATATTAACATAATGGAATAGTTTACAACATTTTGGAACATATGTTGTGCAAGAACAACTAAGCAATGAGGCCTATTTGAACCGTGAAATTACTCCCAAAGAAAACATATCACAGTGTGATGCATCTTTTATCATTTTCTTTTACGTTACCCAAATAATAGCAATTTTGTTACCATTTTCACAATTTTGCCAGCGTTTTCTGTGATGCAAATAAACCCGAAAAATATCAGCCTGAATAAAACCTTATCTGCACACTGTTTTTAAAGTACTCCCAAAGTATATGGTTATCTCACATATTTGTACAATGACCCTCTAAACCATTAACAAAAAGAACTTAGAAAAACTGAATGCAATCACAAGGAAACTAGCAACAGAATTTTAGTTTTACGTATCTACGTTAATAAAAGCAGCTGGCCGGTCATGGACATCTAGAGTTTCTACCAGGTCCTCCATAGTAAAAGTAATTCTCCCACTTATTATTCCTTCCCATCTTCACATCATAACAATTGGAGTTATTAGTGAAAGTGCCAAGATCTTCAGGATCCTTTAAGTTGTTGGATGCGTCAACTACCTTAAGATTCCTGAAGTAACTCGCCTTCCCAAACCCTTCGCTGGGAAAACCGCCGCTTCCCATTTGAGTGGTTGTGTGCACCCTGCCCCACTCTTCGTTCACTACCTCTCCACCCCACTCTACCAATGATGCACCGCCGTGAAGATTAGAAAATAGTATACCCGGCCAGTACCCTACCACATTATCCTTCCCAAATTGCATCCACCAGTTTCCATCTTTCGGGTCCTGCAAAAAAACATCCCATATAAGAATGCTTTGTGTGGTTAATATTCTTCCTCATTTTCTACCTCAACCACGCATACATTCCCACTTTCCTAATGAGTATGCAAGTTAAAGTGGTAAAACAATTTTGAGAAGGATGTTTTCCTTTCTTTTGAAACGGATGTAGTATATAGTACCTCTGTTCCAAAAGCGTCCGTCATCTTTTTTTCTTAAATATGAAAATGCTACCATACTGAAGTCAAATTTCTATCTTTTGACGCTAGATAATGTCGTAATATGGTAGTATAATTTCAGGATGACAGTATTTAACTTATACTCCATATTTAAGAAAACAAGACATAGTACTCCCTCCTATTTAGAAAAGAACATCTATCATTTACTCTTGTTTTGGGAAAGAATGATTTGGATAAAGTAGATAAATAAACAGGACGTGCGAGATGAATTAGAAAGAAAAAATACCTTCCAGACAAGAATGCTGATATCATATTGGGAACCTTGATGGCTAGAAAGAGGGGAAATGGAAGCACCCATTGCTATTCCACTATTGATCTGAATAAAGCCTGAGCAAAGAAGATTGTAGCAACCGGTGGCTTGATAAGCATCACTCTGTATATGAATATCATAAATAAGAAGTTTAACACAGTACCCCCGTTAAGGTTGTTTTTATATGTGGAAGAAAACAAAGCAAAGGAAAGAATCTGGTGAAAGTGTAGTAGCATACTGTCCAGTAGGTGAAAAGTCTTGTGTTGTGATCTCCATACAAGGATGGGCTGACCTGTTCATCATTTGACAAAGCATATCCAATAAATAATGCGTTTATTTATAACAAACAGTTGAAAAAAATAAAAAGAACAGTAGAACACAAAAGAGAAAAGAATTCATACCTGCCAACCAGCTTCAATGCTATTGAGATCTGAATTGAAATCTCCTCCCAAAATCCAAATCTGTGATAAGCTGAACTCACGATTTTGCTCTACTTTAGGTCCCCATACATTTATGGATGCTTTTGCCCCATAATATGTGCCTCCATTAACAAAGGCTATTGCATGCTAACAACTCCAAATTAACAAAACCACCCAATCCAATCAATTAACCACATGAACGTATTTGGCAAAAAAAAAACTAATGTACATACACAATTAATGAGAGATGTTCTGTTTTTTTTTTCTCTTCATTTTTTCAGGTTAATTTAGATTCTTCTAACTTTACATCTAGGTTCACTTGAACCTAGATTTAAGTATAAGAGAACAGATGTTTGTTTATCTCCTAGAACCCTTAAAATCATTAATAATCCAGTTTCACAGCAAATCAGATACTTTTAAGGTTAAGTCTCTTTGTAAGGAAGTTTAACATATTCACATAAGTTAAGCTTATTCAAGCAAACTTTTAGTGCAATCATTTGAGTTAACTTTGTAACTTTTGAGTTCGCACGCTGAATTGTGCAATTATCAAAATATATAAGATTGAAGTTACTTTTTTTGACGGAATTTGCTTAACCGGACCATTTTTAGTTATTTTTTCATCTAATTGTTCTTCATTTTGTTAAATTTTGTTAAAAAAATATATATATTTTTAAATATTATTTTTCATAATTCAACAAATAAAGTCAATTTAGCCGCTTCAGTCGGAATTTCACCAATTTCAACATACTTAACAGATTCGGTCAATTTCAATATTATCAAACGAGCTTCTAGATTCACTAGAATTTAGCTACTTAGTTAAGATCACTTTGTTCAAAGAAACCATTAAATAAATTTAATAGTGTTCCTTACCTCGTGGCCACTTGTGGTGCCGGCGTTAGGATTAAACGACCCGGGTATGGGAACGCTACTTTTAAGCTTCTTCTTCCCGTAGCTCTCAATGGAAGTGGCTCTCAAGATATCATCTTCCTTTGTTCTTCTAATGGGAATAGTTCCTTTTGGGCATCTCCCATTCAAATGCCAAAGCTGAGCAATTGGTCTTGGCCTTTTTTTTCTCTTGGTTCTATTCATTAAAACTTTACCATCCATAAGTAGACTTTCAGGATGATAATTCGGCATCATCTTACAACAAACCGAACTTCACTATTAGTGCTCACATGTTAAACAAACCATATAATATATAACCATAGACTCTATATGCTGGTTTGTATTGTATAGTTTAATTATAAAAAAGATTACTAATGTACCTGAATGGTATGATTCTTGAGAAAGGGATGATCAAAGGCTGGTTGGCGCGATATATAAACACAGTCAATGACGTCTCCATCTGGGCTCTGTTTGTTTGACAGATTAACAAGAAACAAAAATTGTAAACGTGTTTTTGTAAGTATTTTGATAGAGTAAATTTAAGACTACTTAAATACCTGAATGAACTTGAGAGGAGGTTTGTTGAAACGATTCAAGTGTTTCTTAATCAATAGAGTGTTTATATCTGATTGAGCATCACCGAGTGATATGGACAAAGCCAAAAGGAAAAGGAAGAGACCTTTCATTTCCGCCATGAAATTCACATACAGTGGTTCTTGTGGTCTTATATGAACTCGATGGCCGGGCCCAAAAGAAGAATGTGGTCTCTTTTCAGGGTAACAGTCAACATTTCATGTTTGCCAACGCATAACTTTGATCGTCGTTATATTTAATTCTGTATTAGTAAAAATAAAATAAAAATTATATTATAAAACTTAGTAATTAGACGAATTTAACAAAAAATTTCAAAATAAATAATTCACATACATTAATAAATAAATGCAGTCAAAGTAAATTACATTAATAGTGTATATATTCCAATGTTGCAATTAATAAGATACTGAGGATAGTATTAATTTATTTATTAATCAAGCATGAATAGTAATTTGACGAGACTTGAAAAGGAATTTCAACTTCTTTGGAATAATAAGAACTAGATACTACATGTACAATTGGTGGGACAGTTTATTCGTGATGGTCGAGGGAGATGGTGAGAGCATATTTTTTTTTTGTTTTCTTTTTGCGTATATGGTGAGAGCAGGGGCGGAGCATCTATATTTTTTTTCTTTGAATTTTTTTTGTATTTTTAGTTTAAAAATTTATGTTTAAAATTTTTTCTAAAAAATCTTTGTACCAATCCATCCCTATTACCTGTTTCCTCCATTCTATAAAGAAATTCTTGTTTCGAGTTACGATGCTTGACTGATGATAAAGTAACTTGATTCATGTTTACATATTCAGAAACTATATTAAAAAATTTACAAAGTCTGAACAAGAAAAATTAAATTAGATAAATATTTGTTATATAAAGCAAAAGATTATGCGTAATTTAAGTTGACCATGTAAATAGCGAAGGAAAACTTCATGGAACGAATGTGCTCATTAAAGATAATACAACCATAAAATGAAATCTATATTTTTTGCTTTCTACGTCATTCCATATTTTAGTTATTTTTATCAACAATGCATGTCAATCTTAGCACTTACATTTAAATGTTGTGATTGAAATTGTGGAGAAAAGTTATAAAACACAATAATACTTGAAATAAAGACAATTAGACTATATTTAACACCCATATCTTCTTAAAAGTTTCCTTTTCCTTTCCTTTTTCCATTTTGATTTGGGAATATCACTCATTGAGTATATGGCCCGGGACACCCCGGCCCGCAGACTCCTGCTTCTTCTACACAAGCTCATTAAGCCCGATGAGCACACAAAATCCAAACGTAGCGGCCCAAGCATGAAGAAGCCCACGCTGCACACGTGGATGCCTTCGGCCCTATGGCCGAGGGCTCCAAATTCTGGGAGACATCTGAACATCTTAATATGGTTCTGCAAAGCTTCTGGAAAATCCTGACTAAAATGTTAGCTTTCGGCCACCCGATGCCTTCTGCCACCCGATGCCTTCGGCCCCCGATGCCTTCGGCCACATGATGTCTTCGGCCACACAATGCCTTCGGCCGCAGAACTATCGACGAAGATTCCTTTTAGAGACAGCTAACCACCGCATTTATTACGACGTCACATCCACCCACCGCATTTAATGCGGTGCACATGCTTATGTCGGTGCCATCCCGATTGAGGTGACCCCTCGGTCGTTAGATTGTTGACACGTGTACTCTCATCGCATTTATAGCTGCTATAAATAGCAGCCCTTATTCACCTTGTAAAAAAACGAATTCATTTAATACATTTGACTCTCTCTCTAACTTACTTGCTCTGACTTCTCTCTAGGTTATTCACCGTAATAACCCCTCGGGTAAGCTACCCCCGGGTACACTATCCATCATTTGGTGCTCTCGTTGAGAGGTCGAATAATCAAGTAAGAACCCCTCCCCTTCGGAAAAACAAAAACACTCATCAAAATGGGAAGAGCGACTCGTGCCCAATCCAAGGCCGAAGCCTCCAACAAAGCCTTCGGAATTGACACTGCCGAGGTCTCCAACAAAGCTCCCGAAGGCGGAGCCCTCGCCGAAATAGTGCAGGGCACTGCAGACCTGCCCCTTCAGCTCCAAGAGGACGTTCTTGATGCCTGTCTCGGCATCGAGGCCCAAAGGAAAGATCGGGGTGAGATTCAGGTGAGCCCCCCGGTCCTCACCGCCGATATGCAATCGGTCCTATCTGCCTTCATCCACACGCTCACCTAGAATCCCGGAGCCTTCGGAACTCTGGTACCGCCCCCGACCCATGCTGAGGGGAACATCGTCCATTTCTCTTTGCCCCCTCCTCATCCGTTGGTCATGAATGTACGCAACAATGAGGGGGTCAGGGCTCAGGACACGGTGTAACACCCGAGATTAATTTAAAAAGATTAATAGTACTACTCATACCAACAGAGGTGCATCTCCTTTTAAGGGAGCTCATCACCCAAGAACTCCAAAGTTAAGCGTGCTTGCACGGGAGTAGTCTTGGGATGGGTGACCCCCTGGGAAGTTTCTCAAGGCGCGCACGAGTGAGGACAAAGTGCGCGGTAAAGGCTCGTGGTGGTTTGTGAGGACAGTACTAGAGGTCTAGAGTAACTACCTCGGGTCCAGCGGGGCCGGGGTGTTACAGGTGGTATCAGAGCAACCCTGCGACAGTGTGTTGATTCGTTGGATATCGGGCAGGCACTTAGCGGGGGGGGGGGGGGGGGATTCTGGGATTTGATTGAGATTGGTTTACGGGCGCAACGAGGACATTGCGTTCCTAAGTGGGGGTGATTGTAACACCCGAGATTAATTTAAAAAGATTAATAGTACTACTCATACCAACAGAGGTGCATCTCCTTTTAAGGGAGCTCATCACCCAAGAACTCCAAAGTTAAGTGTGCTTGCACGGGAGTAGTCTTGGGATGGGTGACCCCCTGGGAAGTTTCTCAAGGCGCGCACGAGTGAGGACAAAGTGCGCGGTAAAGGCTCGTGGTGGTTTGTGAGGACAGTACTAGAGGTCTAGAGTAACTACCTCGGGTCCAGCGGGGCCGGGGTGTTACAGGTGGTATCAGAGCAACCCTGCGATAGTGTGTTGATTCGTTGGATATCGGGCAGGCACTTAGCAGGGGGGGATTCTGGGATTTGATTGAGATTGGTTTACGGGCGCAACGAGGACATTGCGTTCCTAAGTGGGGGTGATTGTAACACCCGAGATTAATTTAAAAAGATTAATAGTACTACTCATACCAACAGAGGTGCATCTCCTTTTAAGGGAGCTCATCACCCAAGAACTCCAAAGTTAAGCGTGCTTGCACGGGAGTAGTCTTGGGATGGGTGACCCCCTGGGAAGTTTCTCAAGGCGTGCACGAGTGAGGACAAAGTGCGCGGTAAAGGCTCGTGGTGGTTTGTGAGGACAGTACTAGAGGTCTAGAGTAACTACCTCGGGTCCTGCGGGGCCGGGGTGTTACACACGGCCTCTCGCTCTGATCATGCTTCCCCTCCCCGAGCTGGACCGGCACCAGTGCGTAGACCTTCAGCCTTCAATAGGTTAGGGGATGCGCACCGTCGGCCAACATCGGAGAGGCTGGCGGGACGGATGGGTCAACGTGAGCCTGTCTCACTGAGGGAGAGCTTTGGGTCCGTATCCCGGACAGCGGATCGGTCCCGTCTTGACAAAGGCAAAGGCAAGCTACACGAGGAGGATGCACGCCACCACATCAATGCGGCTCGTAACCAGACCCCCGGCGCCGCCACGGCCGTCGAGGACCCTTAGAACGAAATCATCGCCCAACTTGAAAGAAGGCTCGCTGAGATGGAAGCAAGACAACTGGCTGCCACTCCTACGGCCAACTCATCGGGGAGTCCCGGCTTTGACACCCTCATGAACAAACTCAGTGCTCTGGAGAGGGAATTCGCTGAGGGGCGCGGTGACCCCATCATCCAGGTCAGGACCAAGACCCCCTTAACCACCAGGGTGCTCTCGGCCCCAATACCCGAGAAATACAAGGGAAGCACTATGAAGCCGTATGACGGCCGCACCGACCCCAGGAACATTTCAGCCGATATCAAAACAACATGTTGATGGTCAATGCATCTGCCGAATATTTATGTCGTTGGTTCCTCTTCACTCTCGAGGGACCGGCGTACGAATGGTTCAACGCGTTGCCCAAGGGGAGCATAGACTCATGGCAAGATCTTGCCCAACGCTTCATCACCCATTTCGTTGGAAGGAAGCGCTCAAAAAAGCACTTCTCCCACCTCCTCTCCGTCAAGCAACAACCTGACGAAACACTTCGGTTCTTCATTGACCGGTGGATGAAGGAGACAGACGAGGTCGAGGGCGTCGACGAGCGTACCCTCCTCGTCCTCTGTTAGGGGGTTCTCCGCAGCAGCCCCTACGCACAGAGCCTCATCACCGACCCCCAAGATCATACCTCAAAGCACTCCAGTGGGGGAGCCTATACACCGACGCCGATGACCTACACTCCTTCAAGAAGGACAGAGGCCAGCCCTCGAAGAAGACAAACAACATGCCGGCCCCGAATGCGCCCTCGGTCGGGGACCGAGACCATGGAAGCCACACCCAGCAGAGCCGGAACGACCGCTAGTGGCGCCCTCGGATGGACATGCCGAGGACGCCCCTCACGCACCCGGTGAGCACTATCCTCAACTATGCGGAAGAGCATGACCTTTTCCCAAAGGACCCTCGGTCGGCTAGAGAGATCTACGCCGTCCACCAGGGCGGCACTTATTTCCGTTACCACTGAGGCACCTCCCACGATACTAACGATTGTGTCTCGCTAAAGAAAGCCATTGAGCTCTTGATTCAACGGGGTGAGATCCACCAGTTCATAAAAAGTGCCCCAAGGAAAAACGCCGGGGAGAACACCGATAAGGAAGAAGGGGACACCTCAACGAAGAAACGTGAAATTGGGAGGTTCAGCGACGACGAGGAATTCGAGGAGCCCCAGCCGAAGAAGCGCCACCTCCGCTGAATCATGTTCTTCGCCCTCGGCCTCGGTCTCAGCCTCGATCCCTCGACCTTGAGGCACATTATCATCCCCTCGGCTTAGAGCCCTCGACCTCGAGCCACTTATCTTAACAAAGCCGTTGTCAAAACAACGCACCCCTTGTATTCCGCTTATTTCTATGGATTTAAGTAAACTACCACACAATACAGACATCTTATCGGCCCCTTCAGGGCGAAATGCCCAGGTATGGCCGATGATGTCTAAAGACGAGGGGCCTGC